GACAAGCACTACGACCCGGACCGCGAGCGCGCCGAGAGCAACCGCCTCAAGGCAGAATACAAGCGCGAGCGCAAGGGAGCGATGCGCGAGCTCCGCAAGGACGCCAACTTCATTGCGCGCGAGAAGCTCCGCGAGAAGAAGGAGCGCGATGCCGAGTACGAGCGCAAGTACAAGCGACTTGTGGCGGAGGTGCAGAACGAGGAGGGTCGCGAGGCGAATGCTTACGAAAGGGAGAAGAGATTGCGGCAGGGCAAGCGGTGATTATGATAATCATAATCATCAATCAACTGTTTACTGCTCTATGTGGGAAAACGGTGTTTCTCACTTGTTTCGCCTTTTCTTCTCTTTCTATTGTTGCATTATTTTTCAACACATGGGTCCATGTCGACGAGTCTGCTCGGTATAGCTGCGTGTGCCGGGCTGGTCTTTTGGTAATTCTGATGAAGCTAGTTGATATAGATGTATATATTCGTGATTATAGTTACTTGGTTTGATCATTGGGAATGATGATCGTGGAATGGCAGCCAAAAAAGAATGTTTTGATTTATACAATATTATCTTTCCGCATCTATTAAATACACGTATAATTTACACGAATACTATATATACTAGACCAGCAACTTCACCACCACCACCCATATTAACAATTGAAGACAATGTAATCACTGCGACAAGTCCGGCCCCACACTACTCCAATAATCGCACCTCTCTCTCTGCGCCTCCGACACCGTCTCCATCCTCGTCTCATTCGTGCGCAAAAATATCCTCCGATAATCCGCTCCATGCCCATTATTCCACGTCTCCCACTCCGGACTCTCTGGATACCTCAGCGGATTCGGATCAAAAACCCTGATGAAACTCGTCCAGTAGCCCTGCATGACCGGCACAATGCCCGCATTCGTAGTGATATACGACGCCGGCGGCGTGCCGCTCACATACTGCGGGCCCCAGATGGCATTCTCTTCCACGGTATGACTGACACCTCTGCCTGAGGCCTCCGCGGCGGGGTCCTGCACGGCATAATGATAGTTCCAGCTGTTGACACCAGCACCCGAGAATACAGAGGACATGTAGATCCCCGGACAGATGTATCTGATTTCACCGTACGCGGTGCTAGCGGGGCGCCAGTAGGGCGAGGAATTGGGGAACTCGCGGGTTTGGTTTTCGTTGAGGTACCAGTTGTTCAGCTTGGTTAGGTGGGTGAAGTTGATGTTGGGGAATTGGTCTTGGATGAAGGTGTCAGCTTCGCCGACGGTGGATGTTGTTTTGGGGACGAAGATCGTTCCTTCATTGGTGTCGTCGCCGAAGATTACGGGGACTTTGATGAATTTGCCTTGTTGAAAGAGTCGGTATGTGTAGTCTGGGATGAGGGAACCATCGACGACGGGGCCGTACATGTAGAGAGGTGCTTGTTGGGCGGTGGGTAAGGGTGTGTTGATGTTGACGCGCTGCAGTTCTGTGGTGTTTAGTCGGCGCAGGCAGGCGAGAGTGTCTGGATCGCTTGCGCAGCCGGCGCGGATGACTAGGTTGTTATAGGCGAATTGGCTTTGATTAACGGTCAACATGGGGGCGAAGCTTTGGGACTCTGCGGCAGCAGCGTGGAAGAGTCCCTCGTCTTTGCCGCCGTATGCTGAAAGATGGAGAGTAATGGACGCTGCGCCTGCGCTGTCGCCGCCGATGACAACGTGGCTGGGATTGCCTCCAAACTGCGGTTGCGGTTAGTAGTAGTTTGATGGCTTCTTCCAGTGTTCGCATACCTTGCTGATATGTTCTTGCACCCACTCCAGGACCTTGATCTGATCCTTCAGGCCATTGTTCACACTTCCTCCCTGTAGCACCTCGGATCCAGAGAGGAAGCCGTACGGACCGACTCTATAATTGAAGGTGACCACAACCATGGACATGTTGGCCGCTTCAATCAATCCTGTTCCATTGAAGTTGGGGCTGGAGTTGGCATTGAAGCCACCCCCTTGGATCCAAACGAAAACGGGCAGTCTCGTAATATCTTTCACTGAGCTAGGTGCGTATACATCGAGGAAGAGACAATCTTCAGACGTGCCTGCGGGTGTGGGATATTGGCTGGTGGGAACACACCGGGGGCCATGCTGCGCCCTTGACATTAGCACAGGCTCGCAATACATTTTCCAACCTATTGTAGGAAGTATCATACCTTGAACGCATCTTGGACGCCCTCTACCGAGTCAGGATCCCGAGGCGCAGAGAACCGCAAAGACCCAGTAGGTGCAGCGGCGTAGCGTATTCCCAGCCACTGACTAATACCATTGGGTAGAGATTTGCCTTTGTACTTTGTGTAGCCAAGGTCGACTGTAGGGTTCTGAGAAGATACTACTAGACCAAAGAGGAAGAAGAACGGTGCCAAATGAAAGAGAATCATTTTATGTTGTGCAACGAGCCTTGGGGCTACGGACGGTTCAAACCGAATGAGAGAACTGTAACCCAAGATATCATGCTCTGATCAATGAAAGAACAACCCAGGCATTATAAAGCAACCCCGGCAGGAACAGATCTCGCGGGAATGGCTCCAGGGTCTGAACAATAGGGCCGCAGATGTGGAGAAAGCGTTGCCAGGCAAGGCGCTCTCCTTCCGCATGCGGTGATTCGACATGGCGAAATGAGGAGAATCCTGCCAACACCACGGATCCTCTTGTATGGGAAGTGAATTGGCCATCCAGATGAGCAAGGCCAGCCAACTAACTCTGGGCATAAGAACTTGGAACCCGCCCCCACATTCCGAGCCACAGTCGAAGGAAGAAACACTCTGTGGGGGCTAGTATCAGCGGCACTGATGCCGCAAGTGAGAAGGGGTCAAACCTAATCTGCAGCTAGGCTGTGCAGATGACGTGAAACGGCAGAGGACTGGTGCCATTGCGCTGTTAAGGGTCAGTACTTAAGGATTGGGGCAGTTGTCCCGCTGGTCAATCGGGGCCCTGACGGGCCAACTGAAGGATTGAAGCTAATGACTTTGGCTGGGCTGAGCAGGACCCTGAAATTAGGGACATTATTAACATTATTCTTGGGATGTGATCAAGTGAGCTCAATTGGGTTGAAGTGGAAGAGAAAGAGAAGACGAAGTAAATCCGGAGGGGATAATCCGCGCCTCCGCATGTGACGAAATCCCCGCAAATCATCATGTTTTTTTTCCCCGTCGCGGCTCATCTTTACCAACATTGTCTATCTGACCCGAATTAACAACCCAATCCCAGTCGCATTCGACTCCCTATAACTCTCCTCTATTATATCCCTCTCCAATATTCATAGTTTCGGCTCTACTTCTACCTCCGACGCACGCTCAGGCCCGTCCGCAATGGCACCTCCGCTTCCCCCTCATTCCGAGTCCCCCGCACGCGGGCGACCCGATGAAGACGACGAAGAGGAGGACTACATGTCCATGATCATCGAAGAGCCCCAGCAGAAGGAAACTTTTGCGCAAAAGAAGAAGCGTCAGCAACGTGAGGTAGGTTTTTAGGCGCATATCTTTTCCAGCACCAGCTCCACCTAACTAACCCTTCCCCCTCAATCGCAGGCCGAAGCGCGAGCCAAAGTCCCATCCAAAGCCGAACGCGCCGCTCAAGAAGCTGCCCGCCGCGATGCCGCCTTATCAACCAGCACGCTTGACCCTTCCAATAAAGGGTTTCAGATGATGGCCAAGCTGGGATTCAAGCCGGGCCAAGTACTTGGAAAACCTGCCGCGTTGCCGCAAGAGAGTGAGAAGGACACCAAGGATCCCGAGCATCGAATTCGGTCCGAGCCCCTCAATCTCATCTTCAAGGAGGACCGAGGAGGAATCGGTCTCGACTCGGAGCGAAAGCGGAAGTTCCTCGAAGAAGCCGCGGAAGTAACCAAGAAGGTCAAGCAAGAAGAAGGCGATTACCGCGACCGCGTCCGGTTGGAGCGTGAGACACGACGGCTTGAAGCTCAGTTTCATGCGGCGCAGAAGGTGGCTGAACGCTTAGATGCGGAGGCCGAGGGCGAAGTGGAAATAGGACCATCATCAACCGAGACCAACGGAGAAGAGACAAAGGAGCAAGAATCGCATGCGACACCGGATGTGGACGGCGAAGAATCGCAGACAGATACCCCCGCCTCCACTACGAAGAAAGCGAAAAGGCCCGTCAAACCAACACTTCAGATCAACATACTCTACCGGGGGCTGGTGCGCGAGCGGCAAGAAAAGGAGCGCGCCGTGCAGACGCGCCACATGTTGCAGACATCGCTGCCATCATCCTTTTTCCCGAACCCACGATTGCCCGGGTATGAAGACTCAACGCTCGATCCCGAGGACCATGAAGCCCTCGGAGGCCGTCGAGAGATGTCCTCCATTCTCGAACAAGAGCTAGAGGAAGAGGATCCGGAACTAGAGGAATTCAATGCGCTGGAGCCAGGCGAGCGACTGGGCCGGCTGGTTCAATATCTCCGCGAAAAACACCACTACTGCTTCTGGTGCAAATACCGCTACGAGACTGCCGAGATGGAAGGATGTCCCGGCATGACGGAGGAGGATCATGACTAACGACTTTGCCTACTTATAGTAATGGAGACCGGCGTGCTATGGAACCACCCATGTGAGTGTATGTAACACATCTCTATCTCAATCGTTGGTTGTGAAGAATTAGACTAGCTATAATTATCATATCATGCAGAAAATATGCCTAACATTACATGGGGTACCATTCAGGCCCAATCGCCAGGATCGGGATCGCATATATAGTGGTTGAAGGAAAAGCCGAGGGCTGAGAGACAGACGATGGACGCAACATCGTCAAGCAGTTGATAAGAAAAAAATTTCAGTGGTATCAGTCAATGCGCCATGAGCCATCAGACGTACACCGGTGACAACTGCTGCAGTGCTCGGAGCAGTCACCGGGATCCAGGAATTGCCACAGAGGAGTGGCAGGATGAAAAGAAACAGCACCGTTTCGTGCTGAAGTAGAAGAGTGAAAGGCGGGAAAAGGAACATCAAGAAGCAGGATGGAATGGCCTCAGGCTTTGGCCGCGGGAATGGACTCCATTAGCTGCGCCAATGAGCGACGTGGGATCGTCTGCAGGGTCTGGAAACAGCCGGTACAGATGCGCAAGCAGCAAAAGACACACCGGTATCGAACATCGCGGTCGAACTTCTGGCAGGTCATGCAGGGAACAGCATGCCAGACATTGTTGGCAGGGGGCATGGACCGATGGTCCTGGTAGCAGGCAAAGTGCAATTTGTTCAGCGGTGCCGCGACAGGCTCAATATCAGGAGGCGTCCATGGGCCATTGTTTTCTTCACTGGACACAGGCTCGATAGGCGCGCCAGTGTCGTCCAATTCTGGCTCGGGTTCTGGGATGAAGTCTTCCAATGGCTCTTCGGCATCCGGGCGTTGGATGGCAGGTAAGGCAGGTAAGGGAACTTCCTTCCTTGCCGGAGGGCTTTGCACAGGCTCCGAAGTAGCAGGAGGACGATAGGCCTGATAAGCGCGGGGAGCGGGGGTGTAGTTAGCTGCTGGCGGAGCAGGTTGTGGGAGGTCATCTTGATGATGGATAGGGGCATTGAATGCGGATGATGGTGGCTGCACGGCGGCAGGCAGCGGAGCAGGAGCCGAATAATCAGGAGCCGAGTCGGTTCGCGGTGGGATTACCGTCGTCACGGGTGCCTGTACCTGCTCTGGCTCTTTGTCCGGCAGAGAATCCGAGGACTTCTGCTTGAAGCCTTTGCGAGCAAAGGATGGAACCCGCAGGCCGCGGGGCCGGTTTTCTTTGTCGAGGATGGCCATGTCTCTTGGCCGAACGCAGTAGTCTTGTGGTGGTGGTGGTGGTGATGGCAGTAGTAATAGTAGTAGTAGTAGCAAAAACGTGGGAGAGCACGGTCGAACTATCCGCGCAAATGATCTGGCGGGGTAACTTTCCTACAAAGAAGGGAAGAGCAATAGTAGGAAAGAATGAAAGGGGATAAAGAGGGAAGGAGATTAGGAAGGGAAAGAGTGCGAAGCCTGATAACCCTAGAGAGTGCTGTGAAAAAGAGTAGAGGCGAAAAAAACTAGAGGGAAAATGAAAAGAAAAAAAATCGAATCCAACCTGAACAGGCGCTAAAACAAGACATTCAAGGAAAAAAAAAAGACCAGTAGGAAGTAATTAGTGTCAACTAACTAATCATCAGGGGGGACCGAAAAAGTGGATATGTGAAAAGATAAATCCGGCTTGTCCTCGATTCAGGAACGCGCAACAGGAAATCCGAGCTGAACCATGGATGAGCTCCACCCGTGGATAATGACGATGATGCATCATGAATGAATGAGCGTCATCGAAGGAAAAGTGGGGTGGGGGGAAACAGCTGAGGGAAGAAAAAAAAAAGAGAGACAGGAGAGATGGATAGATAGATCGCACCTGGGTGGGTGCCTTCTGATCAACTTCAAAACTTTAACAGGGCCCTTGTGAAATGAAAGGTCAATCGCCAAGCGAGCTGAACTACTGAAGGTTGAGCATAATTCGGGATGAATACTAGTGGTCGATAGCGTCCGTTCGGCATCCTGTTGTTGCCTTTTTTTCGTGAACCTCCGAACATCCTGTCTCGTTTTAGCCCCATGAAAGATGCAAATGTGCATCTCGGAGTGACTTAGGCCTGCTGTCATGCCTGGGATAGGCTGTGCAAGGCGACTTTGCAGCAGCAGACTCAAGGGAAGCCGATGACTGGGACTGAAAAGGCAGCCGGCAAAGCCGCGAGGGAAGATCGGCGATGACGAGAGAAGTGGAGGATGCGCTGGAGGCCCGATGGATATAACTGGACCCTGTTGAGGCGCTAATCCATTCGACAGGCCAGGATTTCAAGAAACATGTCGTCCTTTGCCCTGCAGCAGCAGTAGTGGTCGTGATTAGGGGTAAATTCGTGTACTTCCATGTTGACAGTGCTTGGTATGTTCCCCATTTTCCTGGAACAACAACAGAAGTTTGACCAGATTGAAATGCAGGGTCAATAGATGAAAGGATGCTGGTCGGCTCATTTCCTGCCAGGGTCAGTGGAGCCCGTCGCGTGGCTGAAACGAGATCGTACTTCCGATCCCGCCGATGATCCCCTCCGTCAGGGTCACTGGCCATTAGTAGATAGATAAATAGATATCTATCGCCTACAGAAAGAAGAATAAAAAGGGATCAAGAAGTATAGGATAGCCAACAAAAAGAGGGACAGATTCGGTCAAATCATCCCCGCAGTATTTCCAACACTGAGTTAAATCGATCTATCCCATTCCAGCTACCAATCACCATCGCAATCTGGTGCCCCGAAAAAACAACATGCTCAAGTAGCGATTGATTGATAGATTGAATGACATCCACATCCGCCAGTTCAACTCCCGCACGCTCGCATACATAGGAAAGAAAAAGGCGCATCATCTCACTCACTCACGCGCATGAACCCTCAACACAGAGAATAAAATAAAAACCCCAGAGAATGGTGGCTCAGACGAAATCTATGCAACTGTATGTATATAAGGAAAGATACCATATGCGTCCCAGTGTCATCACAAATCAAGGAGAAGAAGAAAAAAAGGGTGGGGGGAGAAGGAACACAAAGGGTTAAAGGAGCGTATCATCATCAGGCCTTCCAACTCGCCTTGGTTTTGAATACGTAGCGTGGGCAGCTTCACGACGTAGCCTCCGTATCATGTGTGGCACTCGTAATTTCGACGGATTGGGTCTCCAGCTCTTTCGGCATCAGCCTGTCGCGCTGCTCCTCCATGGGTACCTTAGCCTCGGTGGTGGTTGCGGGTTCAGCAACGGATGCCTCTGCCACCGGCTGCGAGGCTGATCCCTCCACATTCGGCTTGGACGGGGTCTCTTCAACATGCTCGGGTGCTTCATCGCCCTTTTCTTCATCCCCAATCACGGCTGCCAAGCTGCGAAAATTGTAAAGGGGCTCTGCAAAGGAGCCTGCTCCCTCAGCCGAGCCCGCATGGTCTTCCGACATCGATTCGACCAGCGAGGAGAACGATGACGATGCGCTGGAAACATGCCGAAGATGCGAAGGCCTCGTGACATCTTTGGATGACTGGACAACTGATGGAGGTGACATACTCGGCGCTTGGTCGGCCGTGCTTGCCAATGCTGCCGCGGGCTGCACTTCCTCGGCCGCAGCACTGGATTCAACAGCAGAGCCACCAGCTGGTTCAGAGCGGTCTACCTCCTTACCCTTACCGGCTGATACAAGCTCCTCAGCCGCAATGGAAGAGGAACTGCTGGTAACCCTACCCAGCCGCGCATCCGGAGGCACATCCAAGGCGGAGCTGCTCGCATTGTTACTGGTGAGCCCGGTTTTGCGCGCAACCTTTTCCGCCTTCTTGGCTTCCTTCTCCTTTCTTTTGGCCTCTTTCTTGGCCTCTTTCTCCTCTCTCTTGCGCCGCTCTTCCTCGCTCGCTAGACTTAGTCGGATCGCCTCCATCATCATCATCTCTTCAAGATCATCTATGCGATTCCGCCTCGAGCTCTGGCGAGGTGGTGCAATGTTACCAGACCCTTCTTCCGCCGAGTCGGCTTCGTGGCCGGCTCCACGCCTATCCGTGAGGAACGCCAGCGCCTGCAGCGCCGGGGATCCGGTGCGCGCGTTGGAATTCTGGGCTTCGGGCGCGCCGTTTCTCCGCATGACACTTCTTCTTCCCAGACCAATCCGAGAATCATTCCCAGCGCCGTTAGAGTGCATCAAGTAAGCCGCAGTATGAAGGGCAGTTGCTGCTGCCGACCGCCGCGCCGCATGAGCTCGAGCATTGGCAAGCTTCTGAGCCCAGTCGGGACGAATCCTATCGGTAGTGATCACAGTTGGATCGTTTGCAGATAACGAGGTCGCGCGTCGACGACCGGTGGTGGGGGTGTTCCCGGAGGATAGGGAGGATGTGGAAGACAGTGGAGAGGCCACATTGGGGCGCGAGCTCGGATCAGAAGCGTACGCTAGCCCTCTCCGGAACGGCGGGGGCGCATATGTCACCCCAAACTCCGGCTGGACACAGAATGGACACGCCGATGGTTCTGACACTAGCTGGCAGTCTTGGCTTTCGGCTTGTTCACCACCCTCAGCTGGAGCAGAATCCGGGTTAGAGTCCCCATGCTCCGGCGGATGAGGGTCGGGACGTTTGATTTGAACAAAACATTCGGAACATATTGGCTGGTCGCAACACCTCGTCCGATTGAGATACGGAGGATAATACAGAAAACAGATAGGACATTCCGCCGCGTCCTTATATAGGTATGCTTCAATGGGTTGTCCATTCACAAACGGGTCACGAGGCAACTGCATTTCACGTGAAGCCGCATCAGACTGGATTCCATGCTTCGGCGTGGTTAGCGACGCAAGAGTCTTGGCTCGCGCTCTAAACAGTGGTGAGCTCGATGTGCCGGATGCGATAGGAGATGTTGGGGAGGGGAGGGAATGTGCGGGCGTGGAAGACTGGGAAGCATCGGATCCGTATGATTGCGATCTTGACGTTATGGGGACCATCAAATACTGCACTGCGGCTGAATCCGAAGCCTCCTTTGCGTCTTCCGCGGCCTTGGGTGGGTTCTTATATTCCAGCTCAGGGGGGATCTCATCGGGAGGGGGAATGGGAAGACCACGCGCCGCAGCCATAAGCTGGTGCTCTGTCCACGAGTCCGAGAAGTCATTCAGTCCTCTCCAAAACGGCGCAAGTCGTCGTTCGATCTATAGAGAAATAGTCAGCATCGGCTCTGGGCTCTCCAAGGCCAGATTTGGCAGCGCGGCAAGCTCACCATTAGCTGTCGCACCACAGCCTTGTTGAAATCCTCTGGGCCCGTATAGACACCCTGGGTCACCAGATAACCACCGTCCACATGTTCTTCTCTCATACTACGCTCCCGCTCCTTGAGCCGAGCCACCCGCTCTTTTTCTAGCCGGCGAGCCTCTCGTTCCTGCCTTGTTTCCCGTCGATGTTCGAGTGTCGCCAGATCTCGCTCTGAACTCCCGCCTATTCCGAGCAGGGACAGATCGGGCCGGCTACCCCGATTCGACCTGGAACCATCACCATGGTGGCGGTCACCGTATGGGCCATGGTGATGACTGCGGCGACTGGACGAAGCAAGCGGCCGGCTCTCTTTCGCCTGAGAATTGCCCATCTCGAACGAGAATGGGGACCGACGTGTAAGACGGCAATAGTAGGGTTGGATGACTGGGTAAGGACGGGTTAGAATCGACGGTAAGATTGGCAAGAGGCGGTCCGGATAAGAAAGCGGAGAAGGGAGCGAGCGAGGTTCCCGTCCGGTAATGAGAGGAGGGAAGTGACGAGGGATGGTTTGAAGAACGAACGCCCCGAAACACAGGAAGAAAGAAAATGAGGATCCAAAATGACAAGTGAAGGGAAGGGAAAGGTGGAGCACACTTTAGAGAACCCTCAGTTGGTAGGGCGGGGAGGGGGATGGAAAAGAGATGATGCTAAGGAATCCGAGTGGCCATGTGAGCGACTGAGGTCGAAGCTGGAAGCGGCGATGAGATCAGACGTGCGGGCTTTAGTTAGCCGCGGGAAGACTTGGTATGGGGCCGGATCAGGGGGGATGTGGGTGTGGGTGTGTTGAAGGAGGAGGAGTAATGTAGGGGGAAGGGATCTTCGTAGCAAAGACTACTTTTAGATATTGGGGAAGAGTGGCGATTGACAAACTACTTAAGTAGTTAAGCGATGAAGAGGAAGAAGAAAGTAAGTTTCAAAGGGGGAAAAGAGAAAAGGGAAAAGGGCAGAAGATCAATGGCAGTTCACTGTTCAGTTCCAGTCCGTTTTACGGGGATTATTACAACAGTTACCAACTGGTAAAAGGCAGGCCGGGTCGGGTCTGGTGCCGTACGAAAGATTACCTGATCATTCTCTCCGGATCCACTTTTCACCCGCCAAATCATGCCGCGGCTGAGTATCGGCCCGACTGTTACATTGTAATGGAGGCTGAAACCCATTTATTGCTGTTGCAACTTGCAGCTCGTTCCAATGGATACATCGAGTCTTACATCAATCATTTTTCCATTTATTGCTGAGTTCTCCCTGCAAGAAATTTTTTTCTTTCCTTTTTCCACACACCGTACTTTCTTGTCACCATGGTAGAGTCATGCCATGCCATGCCAACTTAAATCAATGCGTGGAGGACGACACAAGAAATCTGTGGCTGAGAATGGCAGGCCTGCGCCACATCTCCATACCCGGTCTTGGCGGCCCGGAAAATCCCTCGGCCAATAACTGATCCTATCGTTATTTTTTCGGTCTCGAATATCTACTATTCCAATAGGGTCTGCTTGATGCTTCGTTGGAAGCCCATCTGACCAATTTCAAGAAAAACTTTTTTTTTCTTATTCTACTTGGATCTGATTTCTCACCGAGTGTCAAAGACAGTTGTTAGGCTGAATGCGCTTGTGACTGACCTACGCGCACTTTTTTCCTCCGATCTCTTCGCCGTCACCTGCACTGCTACCGTACTCAGGTATCTATCTATCTATCTATTGGGCAAATGACGACCACACCGTCCGATACGAAGCGCCTGCATATCACTCCGTTCACCCCCGATCTCCTACCGGCCGTGCTCCCTGCATCGATCAAAGCCCTAGCTACGGAAATTTCCTTCCATTGCATCCCAACCTTCCCCGAAAACAACTACGGCTACGTGACCCTGCCAACCATGGAAGCCGACAAAATTAAAAAGAAGCTGAACGGTTCCATTCTCAAGGGCAAGAAGTTCAAGGTCGATACCGCTCGCCCAAAGAAGAGGTCAAGAGATGAAGAAGAGGAAGTCGACACTGCTCCCCAGAAGTCATCATCCGATAAAAAGTCATCGAAGAAATCCAAGAAGCTGAAAGCGGGCGAGGAAATTCTGGATGGCTATGAGCTCCCGAAGGATCGCCAAGTAAAGAGGGGCTGGACCGAATCGGCAGATTCGAAGCAGGAAAGGCGCAAGGAAGAGAAGAAGAAGAAGAAAAGTAAGGACGAAAAGTCCGCAAAGTCGCAGGCCAAGTCCAAGTACACCGAAAAGGCCGAATGTCTGTTCCGAACAAAGCTACCACCCAACAAGGCCTCCGCCGACGAGGCTACAGAGACAAAGTCCAAAAAGAAGAGCAAGAAATCTGCGCAGGAAACGGTAGTTCATGAGTTCTCCAAAACCGTTACACATCCGAGTTTCCTACGTTCTGGGGACGAGCAATCAGCCCCCACAGTTGGATTTGAGGAGGGTAAGGGCTGGGTAGATGAGGCAGGCAATGTGAAAGAGACGGCCAGCGATCGGATAAGAAGCGATAAGTACAGACCAGGACAGGTAGCCGGAGCCAAGGAGAAGCGAAAGGCGACAAAGGTTGTGAAGGATGAGTCTTCCTCTCCCAAGAAGGCCACAGGTCAAAAGAAAAAGGCCCTCGAGGAAGTAAATTCTGATGAGGAATCAGAAGACTGGACCTCGTCTAGTGGGGAGAGTTCTTCTGAGGAAGATTCTACAGACTCCGAAAGCGATCAGGATTCGACTGGTTCAACGGATGAGTCGATTGATTCATCCAGCAGCGATGATGATACATCAGTTCGGTCAAATAAGCGCGAGCAAGAGAAAGTGGCTTCTGGATCAAAGCCCGCCGTGGATCAAAGTGCGTCATCAAACTTGAATGATAACCCACCGTCCTCTCAAACTGTCCACCCACTGGAGGCACTTTTCAAGAGACCCCCGCCGGGTGCTCCCGAAGCGAAGCCTGAAACAGAGGGGGATGCGCCGTTCAGTTTCTTTGCGCAAGACGATTTAGAATCGGAAGATGAAGTGGAAGTTCAGCCGACCGAACCGCAGACGCCTTTCACCAAGAGAGATCTGCAAGACCGAGGATTAAGAAGCGCTGCCCCGACCCCCGACACGGCTTTGATGGGTCGGGGAATTAACTGGAAGACTGCGGGACGGCCTGATCCTATGGACATAGATGATGAGACGCACCTGAATACTCCAGTACCCAAACCCGCGCCTGGGCCCAAGGAAGACTCGGATTTTACCAAATGGTTCTGGGAAAATCGGGGAGATAACAATCGCGCTTGGAAGAGGAGACGACGTGAGGCTGCTAAGGAGCAAAGGCAGAGGGAGAACCGTAGCAAGGGGATGAAAGGAAAATCTTAGAAGACGATGCTTACTGCATGATTCTTGCAAATAGCTTTGACATTAGATATTGCATAATTGGCATGCTTGCTCAGGCAAGCGTCATGTTCAACTTCGTCTCACTAGCTGAAATTTTGAATTCGAGCGTAGGCTGCACGCCAGGGGATCAAGTTACAGGAATGGTAGTAGACTATCCGTACAATTGATGGTATGGTTTATTGTTAGCTTTAGATACTTCGGTGTCTTCAATAGATGACTTGTAGATCACGTGGTACCAAAAATCAAAATCCGGGGCTGGATCGGAGGTCTGGCCTTTCCGCCTTCAGGCGCCAATAAACCATCATCTCCGCGGCAGCAATGAAGACCGACACGTCAACTCTTGATTCCAGGGGATAAGATAACCACCCCTCTCACAGCGAATTTGCCAGCCATGTTACTACGGCATAGCGCCTCTAGGGTGCTGTTTCTTTTTACTGCTTTTCTACTCTGGACTTCTTTTGCGGTGGCTTCCTGTAAGTCAACCCCCCCGATCATCTGGTGTTCGATGCTGGCTCCGCTTTTACTGTCAAAAATAGAGAGAGGCTAATAGTCAAAACGCAGCCCCCGCGTCATTCTGCAAGTGCACCTGCTTCTCCAATAGTACGATCATCCCTCTCGATCCCGACTCTTCCGAATCGACCTCGGCCTTGAACGGTGTCTCCCATTTCCTTCGTCGCAGCGATGATACCGCTATTTTGGATACAAGAGCGAAGAATTATCGCTCTTTGAACTGCAACGATTGTAACCGGAAGTTTTGCCTGGACTATGACTTGCCCACCTGTCATGGTGCTAAGGAAGATGATGTCTTTACCACCTGTTTCCGTATGATTTTTTTCCCACCAAGTCACTCGCAAATTGTTCGTGCTCTGCTAACATGTCCTGTACTTCAGAGAGAGACTCCCGGAAAGACCAAGCCATTGTGTTCATGTTTATCATTGCTACTGGCAGTCTGCTTGCCTGGGCGATCTTTAAGCCTTGGGTAGAGAAGTGGCTCGAGGTATCTTATTCATCAGGTCCACGGCTTTCTTTTACGGAAGCGCTGACTCGTTCTAAAGGCTGCGAGAGAGCGGCGGTTATATATCCCAGTGTCCGAAAATGCTGGTCGTTAGGGACACATGTCATATCCAGATTATACACTATCATAGTCCGGTACCTTTTTACCCGGAGACCCAATCCAGTCGCTCGAGGCCATCGAAGCCGACCATCTGCGGCACCAGGGGTAAAATGATTCGACGTCTCGAATGATCGTCAGGGTCGGAGCACGACTCACGCTCGACATGTGGGTTTAACACGTGCTACCGAATGCATGCTTTGACATACAGCACATGAGCATTACAACTCAAACAGAAAGACTATCTTTCCCTTTTATGGTGGACATACCATGGCAAATTGTACAGATCAGCCGGTGCCCTCCCATTACCAAGCAATATTTCGCAACCTGTTATCCGAAGAGTTGCTACCTAGTTGTCTGATTGTAAATACACACTTGTTGTAAATTCATGGCAATTTCAGTGTTACTTTCACATACGAATAAGACCTACACCCGTCGACATATGTGCAAAGATAGGTCTAATATTCAAGATCGATCTATGTCTTTCATCGCCATAGTATCCATTATTCTTGAGGATTCGAAACACTTTATGGCTAGAATATGTTGCGGGGGTAAGAGACAAGTTGGCTTTGAGTAGTTACTAACCTTAGGTGACAACATCTGGCATGAGATCCAGACAAAGTGGTAAGGTCCACGGTCCTAGACCGTGCAGCCGATGACACAATTGCATAAGTAGTAATTAGTATGCCGATCTACTCTACACAAGATCATGTACTGTGGCTGGCCTGTCCGAGGTCTTCAGATAAAGCTTTGTCTTATTCCAGGCAACATGACCGGATTCAGTCATGTAAGGATGAGTGAGTAGCAGCTTCCGGATTGCGGAAGGTGATCCCAAAATCTGACAGAAGCCAGATGGTTAACGTAGCTGTACTTG